AACCGAGAGCTGCAGATTATGAGAAGACTAGAACACTGTAATATAGTGAAACTGAAGTATTTCTTCTACTCCAGTGGAGACAAGGTAAATTAAAACTTATTTTTCGTTAGTTCTTTATAACCAGTAAAATTTGTATTATAGTAATGAGCTACATTTTCATTTATATAGGTAATTGGAAATGAAAATAGCCTAGGCAGCAAAAAAGAAGTAGTAATATAACCATTTCTATCAGTCACCCCTGTAATATTAATACATTAGTAACTGTATTTTGGTCTTTTTGCACTAAAACCATCATTATGAAATCATTGTTTTTGAATTGCAATTTCTGAAGTAAGGATGAAAGCATGACCTCCAAACACACAATTTTATCGAAAACCCTGGTCTTGGGAAAACTCAGACTATTGCTTGTTGATATTTCATCACTTATTTCAGGATCATTGTTTATAAATCACAGGCAATGTTGCAACTATGAAGCAATTGATATTCAAGTTAACAGAAACACATAGAATGCCATCTTTGGAGTTTAAACAAACAGACATAACGTGCAATAGTTAGTTCATGTTTTTGTGTTTTTTGAAGAGTACAGGTTGGCCTTTCATCACTTAGTAAACACACCATTACATGATAAGAAGTAGAAAAAACAAGGATATCAGTGTTTCAGCAGTAGGATAAAAATTATTAGTTAAATTTGTAGGGGGCTGTGGATGGCTTAGAGGATCATATTTTTGATAACTGGCCTCATAACATCTTTGATTCATTTCATATCATCTTCTTCTTCTTCTTCTTCTTCTTCATCTTCTTCTTCATCCTTCTTTCTTCCATCTTTTTCTTCTTCTTCCTCTTTTCTTCCTCTTCCTCTTTTTCTTCTCTTCCTCTTCCTCTTTTTCTTCCTCTTCCTCTTCTCCTCTTCCTCTTCTTCTTCCTCTTCTTCTTTCCTCCTCCTCCTCCTCCTCCTCCTCCTCCATATCTTCATCATATTCCTTATCATCGTCTCCATTTTCTTCCTTATTATTGTCTTCATTTTCTTCCTTATCATCATCTCCATTTTCTTTTTCTTTCTCATTTTCCCCTTCCTTCTTTTTTCTTCTTCAGTGGAAATAATATTTTCATTTTCATTTTCATAATTGCTAAATTATTATAATGTTTTTTTTCTCTCAAGACAGAAAGTCTAACTATGTTTACTAATTGCTCAGAATCACTAACTTGGCGAAGGAAAAGTTTTCTGTTTTCCGTCAGGCTTCATAATGACCACCACAATACATACACATTCCTTTTCCATAGTGTTGTATACATGCACATTCCTTTTCATGTTATTGATACTTCCATGTTACATTTTTTCTGTACTTTACATGTATATTGCTTTTCACATAGTGAAAGGGGCAAAGCAGATTATAGCTTCTGAGTTCTGTAGCCCATGCCTCTGCTATCTCTGATTTGTAGATTTTTATTTGTCTGTGATATTTGAAGAAGGCATAGTACATTGGTATGCTGACCATAGATAAATCTGTTTATTATGTGAAAGTTCACATTTACCTTTTGTTTTGTGGCAGTTTTTAACATTGTCACGATTGATAACTGAAATTTAAGGCTCATCCAAGGTTGACCCAGTTAATTTGTTTTCACGACAGTTTACAAAAGGATACAATGTATCACTCGTAAATATTTCACATACCTTAATCATATTATTATTATTATTTTTTTTTTTATATATATATACTAATTTGGTTATTGAAAATGTTACCAAAAGGTAAGAAAGATTGTATTGAAAGTATTGAAGGACATGGTTCAGAAACTGCAGATTGGTAAATTGAGATGATGATAGAATCAATATCTTCTTAGCTGTGAAGGGATCTTCAGTATGTCAATTTCATTTGCATCTGTAGAATATGATTTTAGAAGTCTTTGGGTTTAATGGACTTCATGTGTTTGTGTGTGTGTAACATAGTAATTTTGGTCAATTCTTTTTAGTTAAGCTAAACAGAGTTCTGCTTGTTACGTTTAGTACATACATGCAGAAATTGGAGTACATAAAAACAGGCTGACATAATTTTGGCAAAGTCAGAGTATAAGAAAAAATGTCAGTAATAGCAAAGAGAGATTAAAAGTGTTGGTCCACATAATGGACATAATGAAGGGTCATAAAAGGGGATATGATTACAAATTAGCATTAGTTTTACATTAATTTGGCCAACAGACACTGCAATTCTGTCTCCAGGTTCTAAGGAATCATTAGGGATCCTAGATAGTCCATTTACACTTTCAGCTGGGATCCCAGGCATGTGAATTATCTGTATACACTTTCTGTTGGGATTCCAGATAGTGCATTATTATCCATATGCACTTTCTGATGATTCATTTCCCAACTCAAAATTCAAACAGTAATATTTCATGATTCACCATCATCCTCTATGCAAACATAAGATAACATAAGATTTGCCCTCCTCCATTCATACATAATGTTACATAACCCACCCTTCCCCCTATAAACACAGTGTAATATTATCCGTCCACTCTTCTATACACTTGGCTCATTATGGAGGGGTGGAGAAGTGCATCATTATTGCATCATTTTAATGTCAAAGAACTAATTTCTTTTTCTTTTCTTTTCCAGAAAGAAGAAGTGTTCTTGAACCTAGTGTTAGAATTTATTCCAGAGACAGTATATAAAGTAGCAAGGCATCACAGCAAACAAAAACAAACTATACCAATCAGCTATATTAAGGTAATTGATTTGTGTTTGTATTATGTGAGATTTGTTTGGAAAAAAAGAATAAAGTTTTATTATGACTTGTTTCATTTCATCTTTGTGGACTAGTTAGACTCTACCGTGCTTGTATTTTTTCCATGTGCAGTTGATTATTTGTTTATATACCTTCACTTGAAGTACATGATTCTGATTGAAGCACCATCAGAACTGTGTATATGTATATATTCAGCCACTTCTTTATCCTTTTTACTGCTTGTAGATGCAAATGAATGTTGTATTTTAGAAAATTTCATTTATGAAGAATAATGGCTCAGTTTGCAATTCAATTTCTTTTCAAATCACTCAAATTTCAGTCACGATGCCCTTCAGGCAAATTGCTTTAACTGTTTCTTAAGGCGAAACTTATGACAGTATATGGCATGACTTCTGAGTGACTTGCTGTGCTTCATGAGAATCTGAGCTGAAATTTGATATTTCCATTGAGGAATTTGAGTTAGTATTAAGGTTTCCAATTTAGCGGACAACAAATTCTTCCCAAAATGTATGTTAAATCACCTCGTCGGTGTAATAAAGAATGCAGGGTTTTCTTATCCTTATTGTTCATTTTTTACTCCTTGATAGGAGGAGGAGGAGTGTTCACTTTCCTGGCTGCTACCCTTATCAGCTGATTTTAATAGTGATTGTTCTTCTTTGTTTATGGTGTGCACTGGTTATGGTATACGGTGTACGCTACACACTCCTCAGTAGTTTGCAATGTGGTTGTTATTTCATTTACCTATGTGCCCTTTCAAAAGTGCAAATGTACTCCAGTTTGAGAATCCCCTGCTTTAGTCCGTCACTTTAGTTTGTCAAAATTAGGTTCAACAACCAGCGGCCAGTTTGTTCAAATTGTGCAGGGAACGGCCTAATGAAGATTCTTATACATATGGACATGCTTATACACAGAAAGAAATGCATATCTGTCTACCTTTCTGATAGATATACATTTATTTATCTATCTATCCAGTAGATATGCATGTCTAGACTGATAGATGTGTAATCATTTCTGTATATGCATGTCTGTATTATGAACATTTTTTTAGTCATACCTCACACAATTTTAACAAAATGGCCACATGTATTAGTGGTCCCAAGTGGCATTAAACCATAAGCCTATACCAGTACCTCATTCATCACCACAATTTGATATAGCAATATCTCTATACTTATTGTAGAAGTAAAGATGGACTTTTGAAGGTGATGATTGCTGAAAGCAACATGACTGAATAACATCATTATTGCTGTGTACTCATAAGGTGTAAGGGCTAGATTGAATAAGTTACAAGAAATACCATAAAGGGAAGTGCAAAGAGATTTATGCCAAAGACCATTTCTTTTCACTTTGTAGTTTAGCCAGATGAAGCAGTAAATTGAAAATACCTTTGGCTGGATTGTATGCTCCCTTGTTCTTCCCATCATTGTTTCCTATCATTCTTCCTGTCTCCTTTTTCGTCTCGACTCTGTCCCTCCTCCCGTAATTCCCACTTGGCATTTATTTTTATCAGATCTTAAGAGCCTCGATCTCAGATGATGTAGAGAGAGAGATCCTGTATCCATGATTGCTTTTCTCTGCACCCCCTCCAACCCCCCTAATTGTACAGACATGATTTGCTTCAAGAAAATGTAATTTTTGTTTTATTCCAGTTTTATAAAAAAGAGGAAGAGCAAGGAAATGATGATATTGCAAAGGCATAGGAATGAAACAATGGTTCAAGAGGGTTTTTACATAATCTTTTGTTACCCGGCTTTTTATTTAATTATTATTTTTTAAAAACTTTCTTTGCACAAATTTTCCAATTGTATATCTAACAATCATTTCAATATGATATATATTTTTCCACAACAGTTGTATATATTTACCCATTTCAATACATGTATATTTTTATATTTTAGTTGTATTTTCAGTCATAGATCAGAAATAATATACATGCTTTTTGTTCCAGTTGTATATGTACCAGTTGTTCCGAAGCCTTGCCTATATTCACTCCCTGGGTGTCTGTCATCGTGATATAAAGCCACAGAACCTTCTCCTGGACCCAGAAACGGGTGTTCTCAAACTATGTGACTTTGGGAGTGCCAAACATTTGGTTCGCGGAGAACCCAATGTATCGTACATCTGCTCCCGCTATTATAGGGCTCCAGAACTCATATTTGGAGCAACTGATTATACCACCAATATTGGTAAGTTTGTGGAATGGTTTGAATTGGGATTGCATTTAGTTAAGGCCTCTTGACTACATCTTTCCTTCCTTTT